AACAACACCCTCCCCGCACACTGAGGGAGGGGATGTCCCCAAGTGGTTCCTGGCACGCAGCAGCACCCAGGGGGAGCGGGGGATGTGTCCCTTCCTTGCCGTGGAGGCAGAGGGGCTGCAGGGCTCTAACAGAGCTCCTCTGTGCGGAGGTTCCAGAGCTCAGCCCCTCTGAGCCCCTCCCCGTCCTCCCGTGCTGGGAGGAGCCTGTCACCAGTTTCTCCGGTCCCCCAGCTCGGTGCTGTCCTTGGTGCCAGCACTCCCGTGGACAGGCAGCCCTGGCACGCAGCAGCACCCCGGGATGAAGAGCCCCAAGGCTGGGTGATGCCTATCTCCCTTTGCCCTGTCCTTGCCACCTCCCCAGCCCCGTGGCCTTGACGCCTCTGGAGCGGCTGGCGCCGGGCCGTTCCCCGGGCAGGCTGGGGCTGTTGGCACAGCCGGGCCGGGCTCTGCAGGGGCTGGGTCTCGGTGCTCACCGAGCCCTGCGAGCTCCCACTCGGCAGAGCCAGGAAGCAGCTGGCTTTCCCCTGGAAGACGGAGGTTGTGACTTACAGCAGACTCATGGAATCACAGCATCATTAAGGTTGGAAAAGCCCTCTGAGAGCATCAAGTCCAACCATTCTCCCACCACTACCCCATGTCCCCAGGTGCCACATCCACACAGCTGCTAAATCCCTCCAGGGATGGGAGCTCCCCCACTGTCCTGGGCAGCTGTGCCAGTGCCTGACCACCCTTTGCATGTAGGAATTTCCCCAAAATCCACCCTGAGCCTCCCCTGGCCCAGCCTGAGGCCGTTCCCTCTCCTCCTGTCCCTGTTCCCTGGAGCACAGCCTCACCCCCCCCACCCCGGCTGTCCCCTCCTGTCAGGAGCTGTGCAGAGCCACAAGGTCCCCCCTGAGCCTCCTTTTCTCCAGGCTGAGCCCCTTTCCAGCTCCCTCAGCCTCTCCTGGGGCTCCAGCCCCTTCCCAGCTCTGTTCCTTTCCCTGGACAAGCTCCAGCCTCTCCAAGTCTCTCCTGTCATTAAGGGCCCAGAACTGGACACAGGATTTAAGTTTTGGCCTCAGCAGACAAATTAGGACCAAACTCACACACTCTGGTCTCAGTGCCCTGATAGTCTCAGGAACATTTTCCTGTGCCACAGCTGTCCACAGTTGGCTGTGTCCCTCTGCACTCCTGCTCCTGCCACCCAGCTCCAGCCTGGTGCTCTCAGAGCCAACGCAGCACCTCCAGCCCTCCCGTTTTCCTTGTTGGGTCCTTTAGCTCAGAGCTTACACCAACCCCACTACCCGCATCCCTTCAGCCAGCTCTGTACTGCAGGGACTCTCTAGGTTCTCTGTGCCCTGCCTAGGCCTTCCTGACAGGCTTTGGGGGCCAGGGAAGTGCAAACTCCTTCCCAACTGTTCAGGATACAGACACCATCATCCCACTGACAGTGTGACATGGGAACAGCAGCCAAAGCTGCAGGAGTGATGTGGTCAGGGATCAGTTGGCCCTGTGGAGTCCTCCAGGGCTTGGTGTAGTGCCAGAACTCCAAGTTCCCAGCAGAGCACAGTGTAAAGCTACAGCCAAAGGACCGTGGCAGGAGGGGACTGTCCCTGCAGTGACAGGATGGGGTGCTGTTACCTGCAGCAAGGCTTCATTGTGTGTTTCTGCTCTTTCACCAACATTTTGCAACCAGTTCAAATCATGCCCCTCCTCGATGTCCCTTTCCAGGTCCCACGCAGGGGGAGGTGGTAGCAGGAACAGGGAAATTATTTGGGCAAACCAGGCTGGGGTGTATCATGGTTTTCCAAGCAGATCAGCCAGCCAGCTCCCACGCTCTGAGCTGTGCTTCCCTTTGCTGCAGAGGAGCGGGATTCAGCACCTGGAGAGGGGTTTGGGTGGTGGGCGAGGCTAGCTGGGCCCAGGGAAGTCTCTGGCCCTCAGGAATCTGTCACAGTCCTGCTGTTGGAACACAGCTGGACTCAAACTGTGGGGAACAGTGTACTCAGGCTGTACCAGGGGCTTCTGGCTCTCCCTCCCCTCCTTGGACATGCCCCACATAATTTGGATTCTTGGGCGCCTCTGGCTCAGGCAGTGATGTAGTCTGGTGGGTTTGAGGGCAGAGAATAGTTTGAGAATATATCTGAGGCTTTTCTACATCCTGGATGAGGTGGGGTTGACGCAGGTTTGGTGATGCTTCATCCAGCTCCCAAAGTGACCTAGTTTTCTTCCTGGCTGAAGAGCTGCTGCTGGCCTGGAGCAGTGTGGAGCTGCAGGACGAGTCAGGACTGCTCTGGACATGTGTCATCACCCCCATCTCCTCCTCCAAGATGGCAATGTCTGTAATTACCCAGATCCAGGAGGGAGCAGCAGTGATCCACAGTTTTCCCTATTTTAGAGGAGGTTTGGATGTGACCCACGGCTCCACCTCTTTCCTTCCTCTTTCCCTGGATGTTACAAGGACTTGCTGTCCCTTCAAGCAGGCTGTGCACACTGGATATAGGGGACTCTGGTGACAGTCACTGGCCAGTTGATGCCATCTCCAGGTCATGGCTGTCAGGAAGTCCAAGTCTGCCCTTCTTGGAGAGAAGCAGCACATTTCAAACAAAGCAATCAGGACACTCTTCAACTTTGGAAAGACATTCTTTTCATGATGGATTTCATTCCAAAATATCTGTGGTGCATGTGGAAGCTTTTCAGGGGGGTCAGGGATCCCTTCTGGAGTCCTTGTCAAGAAAAGCAGCAGCTCTCCGTGTCTCAAGGCCTGTTGTCTGTTATGTGATGAGCTCTGTGAGGACACATCCAATTGACAGCACACCCCTCTGCAGCCTCAAATCACAGCTCTGCTGTGCTTTTGATCATAGTGCGGCCAGGAAATCATGGATCTTCTGGATTTAGATCCAGTGTGATCCCAGCTGCCAAATTAGAGCTTGAAAAGGTGTTCCTGGACAGGTCAGTGCTTTTCCTGGAGGCTACGGGGCACCTGGCCCAGACTCGCAGCTCCAGCTGCCCCTTCTTCCCACAGTGGGCTGGGCATGTCCCAGCTTGGGGTGGACCCAAACCCAGAGTCACTGTCACACTCAATTCCATTCTTGATTCGAAGCAGTCCTTTGACTGAACCACTCAGGGCAGGAGGGAACCCACATGGAGGTCACTGCTCCAGGTAATAAGCCTGGAGGAAAATGACTTGGAGGTGCTGGAGATGGTACCAGGTATGCCCAGGTGGGCAGGAAGGCCAAGTGTCCCCTTGTCCATCCTCACCAGTGCCATTACATCTCCCACCACCAGCCTGTCATTTGCTTTGTGTAGGGAAGCAGTTAGGAATGGGTGAGCAGAATTATTCCTGAACTTGGACACTCCCTGCACAGAAATAAAGGAGCTGCTCATGCCAGGTAAGGTTGGGACCTGGGACAAGGCTGTCCGTGAGGGTGTGGCCACCCCACCACTGTGCTGTGCCAGCTCCTCGAGGGACAGAGCATCGCTGTGAGCGTGGCCGGGAGCTCAGCATTTTGCCATGCTTCCTGCTGGAAACCAAACCCTCCTCTCCCGAGGGCATCCATCACTGCCTGGGCACAGGGTGAGGGCACGGCTGAGGGCAGTTCAAGGGCCATCCTGTTCTTTGCAGACGTCAGTAAGTCACAGGTAAGCAATTAACTCAGCCTGTACAACATCAGCATCTTCATCAGCTGAGGTTCATTATCACTTTTATGGCCTCGTAAAACCAGCCACGTTAACAGTGCGGCTTAGGGGAACTCTATTGTGTTTTGACGTTTCAAAACAGACCCCTCGGGGCTCCTGGACACCCACTGGGCTGACCCGTGCCTGGCAGACGTGACCTCGGGGGGATAAAACTTATTCTTCGGGTTACTCGTCGTGCCCTCAGGAATACAGATCAGGGCAGCCCGGAGGAACGAGCCGCCTCTTCCCCTCATCCCTCACAGCCCCCACCGGCGCCATGACACACCCCCACCCGGCCGTCGCCGCCGCGGGACTCCTCATTGGACAGCGGCGCTGCCAATCAAGCGACAGGAGGCACGGCCAGCGCAGCTCTCGGTAAACAGCCGGGAAAGGCCCCGCCCCCTCGCGTCGCCTGGCAACGGGAGGCGCTGACGGCGGGATCGGGAGCCGGACCGGGATTGGGATCGGGACCCGGATTGGAGCTGAGTGCGCTGCAGGGGTGGAGGCCGCTTGGGGACGGCATCCCCCGGTAACCGACTCCTGAGACACCCCGTCCCGTCCCCGGGATGCCCAGGGCCGCTGGTCCCCCGGATCCTCCCGCACCGGCCCCGAGCCGCCCGCCCCTCGCACGGGGGGTCTCCCCACCGAGAATCACCGCCCCGACCTCTGACTGTTCCCCAGTCTCTGGGTCCTCCTGCTGTCCCACACCCACACCGAGGGGACCCTTCACTCCCTGTCGGCCCCTCCGCTACAGCTGTCCCCATCTCCTCCCTCCCTCCCTCTCTCCTCCAGTCCTGCCAGATCCCCTCTCCCACCTCCACTCTCTGACAGGGACAGGCCTGGAAGGGTAGAGGTTTCCATGGAGGTTTCCCACTAGGAACCCTACCCTTCCCTCCAGGGTGACCCCAGGGCTCTCCACACCCCTCTGGGGACTGCAGAGCTGCAGCTTGTGCTGCTCTACCTCAGCTGCTGCTCAGAAGCTGTTGGGAGTTTTCTCCCCACCACCCTTCAAAGCCAGGAATCCATCACCCCTTTCCCATGGGTGTTTGACAGCTGCTCTGGGACAGAGACAAGCTCTAATCCACAACCCCATGTCCTGACCCCCTGCCCAGGCTCAGAGAGAACTCCAGCAGAATCTCAGACTCTCATGTTTTCCCAAATTACATAATTTCTCTAATGCTGTCACTGTGTTTTCTTTTTAGAGAGAAAATCCAAGAAGGAAGATTATGTGACAGCAGCAGCACAGGGACCTCCATTTTCTTCCAGAGTCTCACCTTGTGTAAGAGCTGCAGCGTCCTTGCTAGACCTCAAACCACCCAGGCCACTGGTGTTTAACTGAATCCATGGCAACAGGGGATCCAGCTGCATTCCAAGCATCCTCATGAAGCAAAGAACCTTGGTGAAGGGCATGGCAACTCCAAGGAAGGTAGGGATCCCATTAAGTGTCATGAAGTTGTTAGATCCACGCCAGCTAAAGCCCGATAGCACGGAGACAGAAAGAATCCTAACTGTCTTGGATGAGACCGTTGTCAAGCTGGAGATCACCAGGTTGATCCCACGGATTACTGGCTCTCTGGACAGGTATGCTGGGATGCTGGGACCTGAGATCACAAGCAGCCTTTTGGAGCATCAGAAGCTTTCAATGGAAATACAGCGCCTGCTCACCAGCCCTGGAGATGTGAAGAGCATGAGAGCTGCAGTGCAACGCCTGAAATGTACCCTGAGAAACATCCTGAGGCTCTTCCTGGCCAACCCCTTGCTTTACCATGGGCTGAAATACGAAGTTCGGGTGAGAGAGTCACCAGCTGATGTGTTTATCAAAGCCTTCATGGAGTTCCGGGATTTCATGCTTGAGAGGCTCCTGACCACTCCTGATGAGGAGAAGGAAATGATTGAATTCATGAATGACATTTCCCTCCAGGTTGAGAAAAACACAGAAATTATCTCAGCTCTACAGGGAGAGCTGGCAGGAGTCATCCAGACTCGAGATGAAGAGGTATGACCTTGTGGGAATGAGTTTTCCAACCAAGTGGAAACTTGCTTTTTACTGGAGCAAAACTTTGCTAACTATAAACCGATCCCTTTATTGCAGTTCCTAAAGAGCAAGTTCCAGAAATCCTTTCTAAACCAGATCTAAAACTTAAAAATAATATTTTTATTGTAAAATATAATGAAAAATGCATATTGCATGCTTGATTTTTTTTTAAACTCGGATTTGGCATGTTTTGAACCTGTTGTCACCAGCCAACTTAAACAACATAAGTCCCTGAGTTCCAGAGGAGTGGCAGGACAGGCACAAACTTCTGTGGTGGTATCCTGGCAGGGTGACAATGCCAGCTGCTTCATTCCCTGCTGCTGAAAGAATGAAAAATCATTACAGGGAGAGATTGCTCTGATTAAAATCCATTTTTAATATTTGCTCTGTCTTCACTCTTGCTTAAAACCAACATTTCTGTGACTCCCGACTCTAACAGCTGCCTTGGAGCATTTGTGATTAATCAGTGATTATACAAATTACATGAATCTTTAATTTTATCTGCAGCTGAGGTGCAGATAATTGACTGGGCACTTCCCAGGCAATTTCCCAGCCTGTGTACCAAGCCCAGAGCTTCTGACAACAATCCTTTGTTTTCTACCTGGGTTTCTCTTTCTCCTCCCTGCAAGAGGGGTTGGCTGAGAAGGTTTTGCCCTGTGCTCACTGCTGGCAGAGCCAAGGGCCTGCTTTCCCCTTTCCCTCTGCTCCTTGGAGTTCTGGGAATCGAGATTTTTATGTGCAATTTGGCAGCTTGTCCAGGACATGGTGAATAAATCTGTTTCACTGATCCCAGCTGGGGATTTCCCTCCTGAGCTGTGTCCCCCAGTCAGTCACTCAGAGCCTGATCCAGCCCTTGAGGAGCCACAGGGCTCCTCCAGGGAATTTGTTTTGGCTGCTCCTCAGGTGGCAGTGCCAGTGGGGCTTGGGATGGTTTGTTCACTCTGTGCCTTTACTAACAGGTTCCCAGAGGAGCCAGGGGAAGGTTTCCAAAGCTCCTATGTAAATCTAACTCTTCCCTCAGCTGACAGTGGCAGGGCCTTAGTGCTACCTGAGCTGGCCCCTGGGGGTCCCTTCTTGGACCTCCTCCAGCTTTGCAATGTTTTTTCTTCTCCTGCCCATCTTATGCCTCAGGGGCATGTCCCAAAGGTATTCCTCTTGTTTTCTGGTCTAGGTTAGCAGGAAGGACAAAACAATTGAAAACCTCAAAACTAGCATGGAAGATCTGGCAAAGAACTGCAAGGCTGACATCCGGCTGATCATGGAGGAAGGGGAAAAGCAGCAAAAAGAGGATAAGGAAGCCTCCCAGGAGAGGTGTGCCAGGCTGAAGCAGGACATTCAGCGCCTGGGAACACAGTTCAATGCACTGGTGCTGGAGCATCGAGCCTCAGAGCTGGTTCTCAGGAAGGTAAAGGGGAGGAGAGCTCTGGGACAGGAGGTTTAAGCCTTTTTGTAGAGCTGTCAGCTCTGGCTGCTGCCTGCTGCAAGGAGTTCCTTGGTCTCTGCTTGTTCCTGGCAGGATGCACATGGTGTTTGTCAAAGCACACCCGCCCTGTCCTCATGCTCTGCTGATTCCAGTGGAAAGCAGCCCTGCAGCGACAGCAGGGACAGAGCTGTCACAGGTCCTGCTCTTGCTGGCTGCCTCGGCTCTGGGAACACCTTCCCACTGTGCTGTGACACCGGGCAGGGCTCAGGGCAGCAAGGCTGGAGCACGACATGTGTACTATAGTGACAAATCAGGAATCTGCTGTAGGGGGAGCAGAGCAAACAATACTGCCTTGGTAGAAGGCATCTTTTAGAGCTGATTTATTGTTCAGGGTGGAATGGAGCTGATGCTGAGGGCTCAGCAGGTCCTGCTCTGCCCAGCTTGGCAGAACAGACAAGCCAAGAAGTCAGGCTGGGCTGAATGAGGGGGAAATGTAATTTCATAGAATCATCCCAGAAGAGCCATAAAGCCCATCCCATTTCACCCTCTGCCATGGGCAGAGACAACTTCCACCAAGCAGATACAGGAGGAGGAATGGGACCAGCAGGCAGGCTCAGGCCCCTGCAGCAACAGCTCTGCCCTGAGCAGAACACACTGGTGACACAGAGAACTGAGAACTGGAAAAAGGGCATTTTCTTTCTCATTTTGCTCATCCTGAGTATTCTCTCCAAAGCAGTGCAGTCTCCCATGTGCAGAAGCCCATGTGGTGATGGGGCATCTGTCACTCTTGCATTGGGTGGTACAGCATGAAGGGCTGGGCACTGACAAAACATCAAAGCCAAGTTAGAGCTGCCATACAAGCCCCAAAATCTTTGCCAGAGGGGCTGTGCCAGGCAGTTCCTGCTGCAGTTCCTGCCACAGCAGGGCTGTTTGTGGAGAGCTCAGCTCATTCCACCACCCCAGCATGTGCGTTTACTGACCACAGAAGCCTGCTTTCCTCAGCAAGTACAAGTTGTTGTGCCAGGCAGTTCCTGCTGCAGTTCCTGCCACAGCAGGGCTGTTTGTAGAGAGCTCAGCTCATTCCACCACCCCAGCATTTGCATTGCTGATTCTCAAAATCTTGCATTGTGTATGGGAGCATTTTTCAGGGGAGCATCAAGGGACCCAGCACATAATGAAACTCCCTGGGTACTGGGCACATGCCTTCCTTTTGGATCCCTTTGGAAAGGCTCCAACCAGTTGAGGTTCCATGGCTTTGGGAGGGGTTTCAGGACCCGCTTCTGGGGATGTGGGGAGGAGCTGCTGACCAGCTGTCCCTGATCCCTACTGTCCTGCCAGACCACATATGAGGAGGTCCAGGCTGTCTACAACGAGGAGAAGGTACAGCTGTCCCTGCTGATGGAGAAACACGCCATGCTGCTCCAGGAGTACACCCAGATTGAGGAGGAGCACAAGATACTCAAGGAGAAGGAGGAGGAAGCTGCACAGGAAGAGGCCAGGAGGAACAATGCTGCCACCTGCATCCAGGCCTTCTGGAAAGGCTACTTGGTGCGGTCCATCTACAAGTCAAAACTGAAGAAGGGAAAGGGCAAGGGCAAAGGCAAGAAATAAAGCCCCAAATCCCTTTTCTCTCCCTGGCAAAGCTGCTGTGTCTGAGCTCTTCCAGATAAAAGCATTGAGAATTGTTCAGGTTGGAAAAGACTTTTAAGATCATCCAGTCAAGCCAGTACCACCATGTTCACCACTAACCCTTGTCCTCAAGTGTCACATCCACATGTTTTATGAACACTTCTAGGGATGGTGACTCTACCACTTCCCTTGGCAGTCTGTCCCAGGGCTTTAGGACCCTTTCCAGGAAAAAAAGTTTTGTTAATATTTAATATAAACATCCCCTTGCACAACTTGATGCCATTTCCCCTTATCCTGTCACATCCTGCTTGTGTGGATTTGACAGCCCACTCCTGACTTTAGGGCCCTTCCTCGCAGCCTCCCTTCCCAGGAGAGAGCAGTAGCGCTGGTGAGGCCCCTCTCTCCTCAGACACGGGCAAGGAAGGTGTGTTCCCTTCTTGGCAGCCACAAGAGATACTGGGATCCATGAGACTTTGAGAAGTTGGCAGCCATGTGGATAGTTTGGGGGTGTAGTTACATCAAGAAGGACATTCCCTGTCCAGATAGACTTCAGTTCCTAAAAACCTACAACCTCCAGGGAGACCTTAAAGACCCATCCAGTGCCTAAAGCGGCTCCAGGAGAGTGGGAGAGGGACTGGGGACAAGTGGGAATGGCTTCCCACTGCCAGGGGGCAGGGATGGATATTGGGAAGGAATTGTTCCCTGGGAGAGTGGGCAGCCCCTGGCACAGGGTGCCCAGAGCAGCTGTGGCTGCCCCTGGATCCCTGGAAGTGTCCAAGGCCAGGTTGACACTGGGGCTTGGAACAGCCTGGGATGGTGGAAGGGGTCCATGCTCATGGCAGGGAGTGGAAATGGGATGGGCTTGAAGGTCCCTTCCACCTTAACCCATCCCATGGCTCTCTGAAAAGCAGCCTTTGGAGTCCAAAGCCCTCTCAGGCTATTGCAGACCCAGGAATGGCCCCACAGGCTGCCTCAGTGTCTGGTACACCTGCCTGAAGGACTCTGGGACGAATCGCTCACCCAGCTGCAGAGGGACAGGAGCTCAGCCCAGAGCAGCGCATGGAGTGTCCTTCACCCTCGGAGCTGCCTAGCCCAGATCCCGAGGCTTGGAGCCCAGTGCCCTCTCTGGAGAATTCCCAGGGCTGGCAGAGCCTCCTGAGCCCCTGGCACGGCTGTAACAGTGTGTGAAGGTGATGGCTGAGGATAATGGGATCAGGGGGATCACAGAGGATCAGGGAGATGAGTGAGATGTGATCTATGATGGGGAGGGAGAATGAAGAGGAGAGGATAAAGAAGAAGGGGAAAAGGAAAAGGGAAGAGAGAATGAGGAAAGGAAAAAAAGGCTGGGAAGAGAAAGGGGAAAGGGAAGAACCCTCAGCAGACATGGGAACACCCGGCCGAGCGGCACCTGCTACAGCCCTCCACACTGCCCTGTGGACAGGCACCTCCTCAGGCACAAAATCCAGGCCCGTGTGCTGCTGGAGGGAGCAGGTCAGCGGGACAGTAGGATGGGGCTTCACCTCCCAGCAGGGCAGGCGGCACGCAGGAGGATTTTTTACGGGAAGATTTATATGGAACAGTTTTCACCGTGCCCACCGCCCCAGCCCCCTGGCATGAAATGGCGGCGGGGGGGGCCAAAATGGCGGGGGCGGGGTGAGGCCCGCGGGGCGGTCACGTGGCGGCGGCGCCGCCCCCGCTCGGTGCGGACGGGCCGGGGCCGCCCCGGGAGCGGCGGAGCCTCGGCCGGGCCCCGCGGGGTCTATGGGGAAGGCGGCCGCGCTCTGCGGCGGCGGCACCCGCGGGCTGGTCTCGCTCCTCAGCGCCGTCCCCTGCCTGGCCTGCCACGAGCTGCCGGCCATGAGCGCCGAGCCGGGCGGCCGCGGCGGCGGGGGCCCGGCGGGGGGACCGCCCGCCTCCCTCCCGGGCTCCGACACCTACAAGGGGTGGCTCTTCAAGTGGACCAACTACCTGAAGGGCTACCAGCGTCGCTGGTTCGTGCTCAGCAATGGGCTGCTCAGCTACTACAGGTACCGGGGCCGGGGGGCCGGAGGGGAGGACGGACCGCGGGGGCTGCGCTGTTGTATAGCGAAAATCGCCTCGTATTGCTTAGTTTGGGGTTTTTTTCCTCTTTTAAAGCCAAACTCGGGCTCGGATCCTGCAGAGCCGCGGGGCCCCGGGAGGATGGAACGCCCTGGATATCTCATCCTTCTCTCTCTCCATCCCTCCGCTCCTGGTGCAGCAGCTCCGGCTGCTACAGCTGCCCAAATCACAGCCTTCCATCCGAACCCCCCAAACCCTCCTCCCCTAGCCGTGTAACCTGCTCCTGCTGTACCCTGCCAGAGCCTGCGGGTCCTTCCCCCAGCCGCGCCCGGGCTGCGGGCGCTGCGGTGGCGGTGGAAGGACGGCCTGGGATGCTGTGCTGGGAATGCTGGGCTGGGGAAGCCAGCCCCGGCTGGGGCTGCGCTCCTGGGGGACGGAAGGAAGCTCCGGCAGCTGTTCCGAGCCGTGCCTGGCTCCCGGCGCTGTCTGACGCTGGGTTTGTGCAGACGGGCTGTGGGCTCAGCGAGAAGCGTGTCAGACACCCCGAGGCTGCGAGGCTGAATCCAAAGCGGTGTCATCTTTTTAGCTTCTCTTGTGCTGCTTGTCTCACTTGGGTGGTGAAAATACAAATGTGGATGTTGGTGTTTTTATCCTCCAGGAAGGTGTCCCTGTGTATGGCAGAGGGTGGAACGACAGGAGCTTTACGGTCCCTTCCCACCCAGACCATTCAGGGATTCTGTGATTTGGACCATGTTTTTTTCTTGTCACTTGAAACACAAGTGCTCTGTCCCCCGCAGTGATGTGCAGCCAATGTTGGCTGTACTTCAGGACATGGAAACAATCCTGACTATTAGGGATGGTTAAGCTTTATAAAATAGTAGGTCTTTAAAGTGCCAAACCCCCTGAGACAGGAATTCTCTGTAAAGGTTATGCCAAAGCTGTTTTTCCTCCCGACATAAAGTTCATCAGCTGATTTCCTCTCAGCTCCAGCTGCTGACATGTAGCCTGAAGCAGATTGCAGAGCTCCAGCTCCCTGTCATATGTGACTATAAACTCTTCCAGCTCTAAGAGAGACCTGGAACCTGGGTCCTGGGGTCAGACTACAGCAGGTAACAGTGCAGAAGATAAATGATGTGTTTATCCACTTGGAGTTGTTGAAAACCCTCAAAGAACTTAAGCCAAACAACCTCCCGCCAAAAAAATGTAATTACCTCTCAGTAATTCAGCTAATTTACTGTAATCCTTTCTGGAATGCCTTAACTCTTGCTCAAAAAGGCTTTTGGAGTTTAACACCCCATTTGTAACCATGTCAGAATATTATTTTTGCGTGTTGATGCCAAGTCTGTCATGAGTGAACAAGTGGTTTTCTTCAACAATTATTTTAGATGGGAACAATCAGGTTTATTTTGAGACCATTTGATCTGTTTTAGGCTGAAACAACAAACAGAAACACCCAAGGAAATTATTCTGAGCAGCATGTGAAGGAGTTGAAACTTTGTGAAGCTTTCAGGCAGGGCAGACCTTCAGCAGCTGCTTGGGGAAAAGGATGCTGGAGGATTTTGTGCTTCTTTTCATCTCTGGGCTTGATGACAACTGAATTAATTTGGTTGTGAGTCAGGAGTACAAAAATACAGTGCAGAACACGTGGTGAAGTCTGTCTTAAGTGGAGAAAAGCCTCCGTGATACTCTTCAAAACCAGCGCTCTGAAATAGTGGCTGTGTCAGCTTGAATTGCTCATCTGGGAGCACTCCTGGGAGACAGTCTGGGGTAAAAACTGGCAGTTCTGTTTTGATAGGAATTCTAGCTCCATGACAGGAGCCAGGCAGGTGTCAGGCTGCTGCCTGTTCACTGAGAAAGAGCATATATCTGTATTTGTCTATCTGTATATGTTCTATAGAGGTCTCTGGCACTCTGAGAGTCATGGGTCCTGCTTTCTGCTGGCTCTTGGTGCTCATCCCAGCTTAACAGACCAGAAGTCTCCTTTCCTGTCCTTGCAGATGAATTGCTGTGTTCTTCTTGTGTTGTCACCTTTGTAGCTGCACAGCCCACCAGATTTAGCTGTGGCTGCTCAGGAGTAGCTTTGCAGAAACTTCATTTTGCTTGTCTGCTGAAATCATCTGAACTGGGAAAGCTGCCCCGTGGTGCCCAGGCCGCCTCCTTGTGTGGAATGATTTCGTTCCAGGTTGAAGCTTTTTGTTCCATTTGGATTTCCTGCCTCTTGCTCTTTATCTTTAAACCCCAGCCTGTCATGTTGCCTGGAGGATTTTGGTTTGCAGAGTTGAGCTGCTGAAATCCCGGGTGTCCCCTTGGTGTCCCTGGAGCTGCTGGTGTGTGGGTGGGTGCTGTGCCATCCTTTGGAGCTGTTCTGAGGGATTTGTTCCAGCAGCCAAGTGCGACGCCTGTTTGCTGCCCAGTTGGTTTCACAGGGACAGTTTGCTGAATTAAAGCTTCTAATTACAATATTTTTCCCAAATGGAGCATTTAAAAGCCTCCTGTAGCTCTGCTACATCGATGAAGACATCAGGTCTTGCTGCCAGGGAAACTTCATGTGCCTTTGCTTTGTATTCCCTGCTCTGAACCTGAGAAAAATAACAACTGCTGAGGAATTCTTGAGGAGTTCCTGCGCAGTACCCTCCTGTGGAGGGAGGTGTGTGGGTTTGGGAAGTTCCTAAATCCACAGCAATATGGTTGGACCGTTTTGCTTGCCCTTGATTGGTCCTCCTGGGTTGTTTTTGACAAAGTTTTCTGGCTGATTCAGTGATGCCAGCGTGGGAAGGCAGTTTGGGGATGCAGGACTAGTCTGCTTGACTTGCTAATGATCCAAACTCTCTCTCTGAACTCCTCTTGCAGGCTGCCACTCAGATTTATCATTATCTATAATTAGCGGCTCTGTATGGGAGAATCTAATCACCTTGAACAGATAAGTGTTTTCAAGGAGATTA